GACTTCAACTACCCAGAACTTCCCAGCCAGCCTATCGTGGTGGGAATTCTGGGAGTTGAAGTCCATACATCTTAAAGTTGCCAAGGTTGAGAAACATGGAACTAAGTGATGTCAGAGATGGGGTTTTTTCTTAATATTTCTTATGAGTGAAATTTATTATTTTGTGCATTTGACCACTTCCTTCTGTGGGAATTTTGAAGAACTCTTATTGCTGCCTCAGAGTAGAATAAAGTAGCAACAACACATAGGAAAAACCTGCTTCCTTGCAGAGTTTCTTCCTTGTTGGCAGACCTCAAATAAAACATTAATGTTCTAATTCATTTAGGGGGAAAAAAGTAATTATTTTATATTTTCAAAGATTACATAGCTGCTAATGCTATGCAGAATTAAATATTACAGCTGTATAGTTGCTTTGCCTCCATTGCTACATTCCAAATACAGAACTGCATTCCATATACCATTTTTTTCATTAGTTCAGCCAGCAGCTAATTTTTCTCATATAGATGCAGATTTATATGTGACTGATTACAACCCCAGGAGGTGGCAAGATACGACATCTCTTCTCAGATTTTTATGTAGCTTATGAGCAATTTCACTAATCCTTGAGAATTGCATATGTAAAAAAATGAAAGTGAGCATACTCGGTCACCTGACTGGACAGAAGCAAACCTCAGTCACAGTGCTTGCCCTCAGGAATAGGATCCCTCAGCGATGCGTGGGCCCCACCCTGACCCTGTTTAAAAAGCCTCTGAAAACCTGGCTCTTTTTCTGGCCCTTGGGTTAAGGTAGGTGATGAGGCTCTTACACTATGTTTGCTTGTTTGTTTCCTATTCAGGGTGTGAATCTTTTCTTTCTGTCTGTCTGTCTTTTATTGCTTCTTTCTGTTTTTAATGTTGCATGCCACCCAGAGTCTCTATGGAGTTGGGTGGCCTTCTAAATTTGATAAATAAAGTTGAAAAATACATGCAGATTTGCTGAAGTTCCCTGTCTGTTGCAAGTGACAGAAGATAGCTCCCTTTTCCTTGCCCGCTAGTTCTTTCTGTTCAGGTAGGGCTAGGGCCCAGCTGCTTCCTCCCTCTGACGTGTGCTAGACTCTTGCTTCGTTCCCAGAGTTCTGTAACTACAAGAGGTAATATAGGGCCCACAGTGCCTGCGTGTAGATGGACCTTCCTGGGGCCTCTACTCTGCAAGTAGGGTTACAAACTAGCCATTTGTTTTGCTTTGAGATTCTCATATCCAAACACAGCACAGAAAGGAAAGTTATAATTAACCTTAAAATAACTGACGGGTTTCCCTCTCTGCCTTGTCCCAATTGGCAGAAGCCATTGCTGCACGTTCGGATGGCACAGCAAGATCAGCTCAGACCCTGGGCAGCTCCTTGCAGCTTTGAGGAAAGGGGCCTCAGCCAGTGTCTATGTGACTAAGCACCGTTGAATCCAGACCGTCCCCTCCCAAACACACATGCTGTTTATTTTGTATGCCAGAGGCTACATTTTGTTCCCTTAAGATGCCTTTGGCTTGTGTTTAAAACCTTTCTTTTTTACATCTATGATCCTTGCCCTTCTGTCTCTCTGTATACCTTTCATAACATTGTGGTATGCTCCTTTTTTGTTTATCTCACTTTGTCGGTACTTCTATTTGTCACGGTCAGCAGGGCATGATGTAGCACAGGTGCCAGAAGTATCTTTTTTTATGTTGCAGTAGAAAAGGATTTGCCTTCTGCAGCAGCTACATCCTGTTATGCTGCTCCCCTTGGATATGCTATATGCGAGTGCTGTGGCTGGCCAGGCAAATCGATAGAGGGACCTTTATTTCCAGATTTTGCAGCAGATGCTTTCCTGATGCAGTGACAAAAGATGTATGATTCAGATATGTTGGATGACTCTAACTGCACATTTTATGCTTCCCTAGCCACACAAATAGGTGCAAGTAGCCCAATTTGTAATAAAGGTGGTCTGTGGAATATCATAAATATAGGCCATCTTCTTTTTCCCAATCTGGTTCCCTCAGAAAGAAGAAAATTGATGTGTTGGGTGCTCATGACAGATGACACAGAAGAGTTCTGAAGGATCTAGGCCTCTAGGAGGCTATGAATTAGTCACTTGCATCTTTGAGAATATCGCCTAAATAGGTATCATAATTTGGATGAAGATGTAATTCCAAGATGTGTTTCGTTCTGAGTGAAGGAGGGCAGATTAGTATTTGATTCAAGGAAGGCAGTAGAAGGAGAGCAGTAGTAAATTCTTAATTCTGATATGTGTACTTCAATACAGTATGATACAATATAATGAGCTGCTTCACTAAAGGCTTAGTGACAGTATGGCAGGGGAACAATTCTTAATTTATGCTAAAAACATCATGGGAAAAAATGGGGGGAGGAGTTTGGGAAGAATTTGGTAGCATTTTATGGTGTTGTATCTGAAATGGTCTCCATAAGGTACAGCATGGGACAAGAGATTTTAAATAACAGAGATCTCTCAAGATAACGGAGTTAGAGGGAAGGAATCTATTTAATTGATTTGAAAGAATTGGGAAATGTTATTTTCTAGATTATTACTGGTTAGTTACCCTACTGCCTTAATAAAAAAGAATCACATGTTGCTTATGAGAACATCACCATCTTAAACCCTAAACTAATGTGTGGTTCAGATTTATTCAGTGGTGACAAGGAGATATGTTGATAGCATCCACAACATGTAGGATGTTTATGAATGTGCTGGAAAGCATTTTTTTCCCCCAGTCTGTCTGCTATTAGATTAGGCCTACCAGATCAGAGGTGCAGATGTGTTACGTATCTCTTTGCTACCATGTATGTGTTGCCTAAATTTTGACATTCCAAGTATGGTAGCATTTTTTCCCCAAAAACTAGAAGGGTGCATTTAACCAAAATCACTTTTTTACTGCACAGTTAGTATATACATACAAAAGGAAGAGTTCCTTGGCTAACAAAATTACTTTTTATTGTGTCACTTTATTCCAATCCATGGAAATGTTGTTTTCTGCTGACTGGGCTATCAACTGTTTGTGGACTTGTTATGATTCAGCTTACAGAGAATGAAATAGTTATGATTATCCTTCAATAGACTTCTCTAGGAGTATTTTTAAATGTGTCTGTATTCCTTTAAATATGTAGCTTGTGAAAACATTGTGTGTTTATAAGACTACTCGCTTTCAGCAGAAAGCAGCTAGGCATAGTTTAATGATATCTTAGAAATAAAGAGCTTTCAGTAGTTGCATATTCTAATTTTTAATTTATTTAAGCCTTGCTGATTGCTCCACAAAAATGTTTCACCTGCTGGAACATGCATACTTGTGTTAGCTATTCATGGCACATTAACAGTCTGAAAGTAAAGGAGTGAGATGAGGAGAAGGTTATATCTGTGCATAGTCTACTGTTAAAAAAAGGGCTATTGACCCCCAGTAAGCCTTTCTAGCTACATTGCTTGATAGACAGCATTTTAATCTTAAAGTTGTAACTTCAGTGCAATTTGGCAGTGCAGCTGGTGTCAGGATATAAAATCACACAAAAGAAAAAGCAAATAAGCAGCATTACCCACAGATTCTCACTTTTTTTGTCAAGCTGATGAAAGTAGTGTTGTAGCATCTTGCTGCAAACTTTACCCTTGTGAGTGTGCGTACAACATCGTTTGCATCACTCTGACCTCCCTAGTGCCCCCTCTTGCAGACACTCCTGCAAATAAGTGTAGCTTAAGTCATTCTTTACTAAGA